ATTATCCTCTGACGTAAATAAAAGGAAATAAACTATGTATTGGACTATTTTGTTATTGATAACAATTATTTAAATAGAAATTCTTTCTTTTTAGAAGTATTGTGCCTTGCGTTATTGGCTGTATGAAATTAAAATAATCCATGTTTGTAGTACTTGTACGTATTATTAAAGAGTTGTGTTTTCTGAATAAAGAGAAATAAAATTGAAATTAGGTAAGTACCTAATTTAAATATAAAATTATACAAGTGTATAACAACTAAAATTTTCATCAATTTGTAAGTCAAGTTTTTTACTGTTCTAAGAGTTCAAAGGTGCAATAACAAATTACTAAACTTTTTTATATTTTTCAGAGATCTCAGAAATCGCAGTTTAACAATGTAAACATGACTGATAATGAGAAGACTGTTCGGTTTTTCCCATTTCAGATAACTGTCAAAACAGATAATAAATACGCCTCATTCATATTAAGTAAATGTTTTTAACAAAAATGTTCAAAACATTTCAAATTAATTTGTTATTCGATCCCATTTTATAATCATTAAAATTTCCGAGTAAATATTTTTACAAGTATCTACATTATTATCTTACTAACCAATTTTGTGTTTTAGTTCTTCAGTCATGTTTAGGAATATTTAGGAAGAAGCTTCTTGAAAGTATTGATTTGTAATAGGAATTTTTTATTAGTTTTTGTTTTTTTTCTACAAATTAGACAATTTAGAACAAGAAATTCTTCCAATTTCCGCACTTAATGACTAACACCCGCATCTTGCGATAATTACGAATGCTGGTCGTACAAACCAAATGGAAATTCTACACATTAACTAGGTTGACAACTAAGTAAAAAATATATATCTAAAAACCAAACGCACACAAGAAAAAATATTTAAAAAGAAAATAAAACAAAATCATTTATCGAGAATTCTGTTAAGTAAATTGTAAAATTGTGGATGATAATAACCCAAAATAAAATCTTATAAAGGTAGCAGCAGGAAGGCGCTGGATACAGGCCGCTACCAACCGGGCGATGTGGAAATCATTGAAGGAGGCCTATGTTCAGCAGTGTACGTCCTGTACAATGATGATGATGATAACAACCTAACACTAATAAGTAAATTAAGTAAATGAAGATCAAAAAGTAATATTCAAACGACTTCAACAATTCGGGACGGGACCAATAAAAATTCTAGAAAACAACATGAGCAACAAACAACTACAATCTAAGTTCCCAAGAAGCGATTTGTAGGTATTGCAACACACTTGACCTTAATAATGATAATGTAGATCATTAATAAATGAACTCTACATCTGCACTGGGACATAAATGTTATAATTTGCATTTGCGTACGCATTCAGATTAATTCCTATCTAGAAAATGATATTCTGTGAATTTATCATTATTACCTATGTGTTTATTGTACCTAAATTCAGTTGGATTATTACGTGCGTTTGTTTCTTAGGATTGTCCTTAGAAACTCTACCTACGTACGTACGTCGATTGTACAAAAAAGGGGGAAATTTAGATAAAATATGGAAAAGATTTGAAAAACTGTCCCATATTATTGCAGACAGTTTAATAAATAAATGTATTTTCCTTATCTTCAACAAAATTGTTATTAATAAAGCGGACCCCGTCCTTGTTTGAGCGAGTCAAAACAAGTTTTAAGCACACAAACATGTTTTGCCCTTCCCCCTCTTGGGAGAGGTCGGTTTCGTTTCTTATCGGCAGCTGCAGCCCCCTTATAGTGCTTTACAGAACTGTAACTTGTCCTAACTTGATTGAATTCTTTTATACTTTGACCAGAACTATTGTTGCTTAATATATCTCTTCCTTTCATTTTAACTTCAGTATCTTCCGACAATTTGAGTCACTGCACAGAAATGTAACTTTTTTAGACCCCTACATATTTCGTTGTGGTTGGGGTTGCTCTCTCGGTTGTTGAATTAAACTACACTTTATAGACTGACGTAGGGGGACATAGGACCATAAGTCAAGTTATAGACTGACATAATTATGACTCTCATCATATGAATTTTAATCAAAATATGGATACAAAGCCTTCCGAAGAACGAAAGCACATTTACGAATAATTTGATTGTTTCAAGTCTGCAATGTCATAAAACTGGGGAACATCTACCGTGTAGATTCTACAATTTTTCTACTCTTGAGATATTACTATGCAATTACGATCTAGCCACTTGATCGCAAAGGCGCCATGACTTGTAGGAAGTTACAACATCTGGACCTTTGAAGCTCATGATCATAATAGGCCTACGTAAGTTTTGGCCTTAGAATGTCAGTTATTTTAATCCTAGTTCAAAGTGCGAATTTACAAATTCAACTGGTATTTCACTTGTCACTTGCATTATATTTTTAGAAACCCCACTAAACTGGTTTGAAACGTTTGCTTAAATATTGTAGTTTGTTTATTAATGATTATGAAATTTATTAATTAATTACACTTATTTAGCCAAGTCATTGCTTTTTTTGCTCACTTAAGTAATAGCTAGAGCGTGGGCATTATTACATATTCTTGAGTTTTTGTCGTTAGACTGTTCAAAATTCAAACTTAATTTTTGTGTTATTTTACTAAAGGTTTCCGAGTTTAGTTAGTGACTTCTTTGCGGAGCTTAAAGGGTACCCGTTTGACTACAGAACGGAAAACCTGGCAAAATAGCACTTTACGTTACATTTCACGATCATCTTTTATAACATACTATCACAACCATGCTATGACTGTGTTCCAAATTGTACGATACATATCACGAATTCACGATCATATCACTATCATGCTGCGTGTTCCAAATTAGACAAAACTTTGTGATAAGAGCGTCTACACTCGTAGCCATATTAACGTGATTATCAACAATGTCGCAGTTAGTATCGTTTATAAAATCATCGCCAGATGCGGGGTCAAGTTTATTGACAACTGATTCGTGATGAGGGCGTGTAAGATCATTGGCCTGGTGGACGCGTGTTAACGATGTTAACAAACCTCGTTGATTGTCATTGTTCAACTGCACGAGCAGAGATAGTATTTGTAAACAAACACACGAATGTGTGTCAGGTTGAAGAATTTGCTGCACGTGGGCCTTTTAACTCGTGGCACAGATTAAAACTAGTGCTCGTGGGTGAATTTGTGTGATATCAAGCACGATTACCGATGATAGGTTTTTTTTTTATAAAGAACAAGACAATTATTCGACCTCAAAGGCACTTTTAAGCGAAATGATAGATTACTAGGCTAGGGCTACAAAATCAAAATCTACATTATTTTCTTTTAAAACGGTCCTTTCTAACTGGGTAATGGGGGAGGGCTACAAAATCAAAATCAATTTCCTTTTAGAACAGTCCTTTCTAACAGGACAAAATGTGAATACGACCACCTATGATAATGTAGCTAAAACCATTGGATCTATTAGTTACGAGACCTCAAATCATTTTCATATGATAAACAAAGCATAGTAACAGAACAGTCAAATCAAATATGGATGCTCTTAAAGAGCCTACATGTCTCATAACTCATTTATTATCTGTTCTCGAGACCAATTAGCAAGAATAAATAAACAAAACCCAATCACCATTCTCTGACTGTATTTCCCACGGAGGGTTTTCCTTTCTTAACTTTAACGTTATTATTAGCGACTTGTATTGTTTTGTTTACAATATTAAACTGTTCTCATGCAAACCCTAGTAAACCTGGATAACCCAAAGCCCTGAAACCCAATGGGAATTCATATGGAGTTTTAGCACGAGTCCCAAAACTCCAAAATCCTGCTAAATCCATTGTAGAAAGAATTTTGGAATATTGACCAAGGGTTCGGGAGAAATACTTGGCTACAAACTGAAATCAACGTTTTGGTAATTCTTAGATCTGTAAATACGTAAAATAATGCAAATACAATAAGCTATTATGTAGGTATCTATCTAACTCTACATCTATGTTTGGTTGGTTACCTGCCTAATGTATGATGACTCATTGTAGTAAATGAATTCGTTTTTCTTCATTTGCATTTGTTAATTTGTGTCTTCCTTTATTTGAATTACTTACTTAGGTTTCTACGTGATTTAGTTTCAGGATGCAAGAAGAATTTTGCTTTTTATCTTGACAACCTGATAAGCTGATCTTATTCATACTTCAAGACTGCACAAATTCAATACATTCCTTATCCTTACCATCACTTTTACGTACTTTATCTTAAGAATTTCCAAAATTTGGATGAGTAATCAAATCAATACTTTTTGTATGGTAAAATGGAGCAAATTGAGGTAGAGTTGTAGATTGATGATGAGAATTCATGATTTGATGATGAAGTATTAATGTGGAAAAATACTGTTCCCGGAATAATTTGAAAAGGAGCTTTGGCTGAATTTCGGTATTTGGGATTTTGGGGTAAAGGATCGGGGTATTTCTGAATTGAGGAGAGCGTTGTTTTAGCACGGACTTCAGAGAATAGGTAGGTATTGAAATTTAAAACAAAACTTACCTAAATTGCGAAAATAATATTTATTCAAATTACTGACGTTATTAACATATCGGGTTTTTACTACATTTTCAACACTGTTTAGTTTTTAAGAGAGATTGAGCAATAACATTGGATTAGTCATGTCATTGTGAGATGTGATGTTCCACATTTTAGGTAGGTAAAATAATATACACGTGAGATGATTCCATTGGTTGACCCCTATGTTTACATTTTGTAACGTGTAAGTTTTAATCTTGATTGTAGTGGGTTATTCTGATTACCCTAATCAAAATCAAGGTTATCTAATTTCACGCTCAACAGTAGCATAATTGTTAAATTTATTTACGCTCACAAATTCCGATTTTACTGCGATTTCCTCCGACTAAAAACCCAAACCGTTGGGATTCCCAAGCGGGCGGACAATACACGAATTCACACTAGCGCGCGCCGACAACAGTTCAACGCACACAAATGTAAATAAAGTTTACTAGCGACTGAGGGGGGGCAGGGAAGGGAAATCCAAGGATGATACAAACACGTCGCAACCTGCAGCAGAGAAATGTTATCTGGATGCCCCACACTTGCCTCCGATATCGGGAATTTCTTCCACAAACACACACAGACAGCACACTACGAGCGGATTTCCGAGTAATTCGCGTTTGTCCGCGGAGGGCGCCACGCACACACTGACAAAAACCCCACGTTAGCACGCGGGTATAAAAACGTGGATGCGTCACATGGCGGCCATTCTGCTGCCAACGCTCGGAGCGAAACCACGTCTGTTTCCCGCGCAAAGTTGTGAAATCGTTGTGACATAACGCACGCTCGGAACTCGTGTACCAATACCAAGTTATCTATTGAAATACCTGTGAAGCCAACTGGATTGACTGTGACAAGTGCAAGTGTGCCTGTGACAATTCGCACCGAAAAGTGGAAAGTGCTATCAATTAGTGATTACGAGATAAAAAGTATAAACTTCAAAAGCAAGATGTACAAGGATTCAGTTGTTCCCGTCAAACCGGAGACGTTCAGTGGAGTTGCGGCTAAAAGGTAATTTTTATTTAACATTGTGTAATATATTTTTATACTTAAAACTTCTTAATTTCGACGTTAGAATAACTTTTCCGAACAGAATTCAAGATTTCATAAGGCTTTTATTGATCTTGTGACTTTAGCAAAGTTTGAGGAAAAATACTTGAAAAATATTAACTTCGACAATGAAGATGTTCTTTCGATAAAATACCACATTAGCATAGTACCTAACTTAATTATATTTAACGAGGTAATTATTTTTGCAACGAAAAATTAGCACGGTCATAGAACTTCATTAAAGGTCATTAGCCTTATTACCTCGCTTAAGTTCAAAATTTTAACTGAAGGTCACAATATATACTTATACTGTCACAACGTCCTCGGTAGTGTAGTGGTCAGTATCCCTGCCTGTCACGCGGGAGACCCTAATTTTTCTTTTTTAATTTGTTTTTAATGGTCATTTAATAATTAAAAGTTTGGTCTCTAAATTCAGTGCTGTGCTAATCATGGAGAAGGAAAGAAGTCTCGAAATTACGCAAATTATGAAGTTAGTAGGGGTAGATAGATCAAAATAACTATTTCGTTAGTTTCTTTACATTTTGAAGTTCAAGTAACTAATGTTATTTCTCTTCCTTTACAGCCCAATCGGACAATGTATAAAGACCGTGCTGCTTAGGGCATGCATCGAGAAGAGGCTGACCGTAGGGCTCCTGCCCGCGATCCAGTATCTCTCCAGCAACTGCAATGGAGCCCTATTCTGCCTGACCGCGGAGGCGCCACCTGGCGACAGCGCGACTCATATGCAAGAAGTCCTGTTGCAGGCCTTCTGTGTGGAAAATGACATTCATGTCATCAAGGTAATTATCTTTTGATTATCATTGATTTGACCTATCATTATAACTCTATTTTAAAATTTTTCGAGATGAGAATTTTCGCACTCCTATTTAGCGCCATCTATCTAATTAAAGTGTTAACTCTCAAAAGCATGCTTTTGAGGAGGATTTTTTTAATTCAATGTATTAATGTTCTCGTTTCCTTGTCCACAGGTTGATTCAGCGACCAAATTGAAGAAGTTGTTGGGGTGCTGCTCATCAGGGGTGGACTTCAGCTGCGTGTTGGTCCACTACCCATACACAGACCCCTTTAGTGACAGCCAGGAAATCGACCTGTCAATCCTCACAGACTCCGAGAGAGACCTCATTGACCACTGCGAGACCAACTGGGGATACTCACAGATGCCAGTCATCAAGCTGCCAGAAAAGTGAATCTAACAAACCGAAATTTGTCAAGAGAAAAAAAAATACCGACACACCTGTCGTGCCTTTTCAAATAGGAAGCCATTCTTCCGTTTGGCGTTTAACGCCATCTATTATTGGAATTATGAACTTGAGTTCATTGTGCCTAAGGGCTTTGGGTCAAATGTTTTGATTGTGAGAAATTGTGAAGTTTTTCCAAACGCAGATTTTGTATTGTAAACTTAGTTTCTAAGTTGTCGCATAACTTTTGCATGGATATAATATTTTAGCAATAATTGTATAGATACCTGTAACTCCCCAGAAAGAACTTACATTTAAAATTGTAATGTATTCGTATAATAATCATAAAATGATTTTTAGATTCAATATTAATAAAACTTGTAGGGGAAATAGTATAACGTAATATTATATCATTGGATTGTAACGTTAACTAAAATATACATAAGTTAAGAATTACAGACAAATATTGAGATATTTTATATTTTTGTAATGTTAAAAACTATAATAATGTTACTGAACCAAAAAAAGAAATAAAAGTTATGCATAATCAATATTTTTTCGTTTTATTTTTATTTATATTTACCAATTCAATTCACTTTTATTTTCATTTTATCAACATCTTTTCTTTTCCTCTCTCCAAAAAACAATAGCAGTAATAAATTAATAAACTATTTATAGGTAGTTAGAAAAAGTAGCAAAAAGCCAACATCACGCGGTGTTCCCAGGCGGTCACCCATCCAAGTACTGACCGCGCCCGACGTTGCTTAACTTCGGTGATCGGACGAGAACCGGTGTTTTCAACGTGGTATGGACGTTGGCGACGAGAGAGGAGAATTAAATCATTCATTTCGAATTATCTATAATACTCCTTTAATTTTTTTATGAACTTACCTGGTGAAGTTCGCAAGAAATCTATCTACTAAAAATCAATCAATTAAATGACACTGAAAAAGTGTTGTTGTCTGTTACCGAACACCAAACATAAAATTCACTGAACTTTAAGGTCCCAAAAATTTAATGGTTATTTAGTTAAAATACATTAGTTAATATTATAAGAATATCTAACAAAGAACAGAAGTTATTAGTATTAATTCATGTTTCGGCTTCGACCAGACACTACATTTATATGACATATTTCAAAATAAGAACATATTAAGTTATGGGAAAAGTACGATTAAAACTAATTCTGCGCTTCTTCAAAACGCCCAATATTCGCGAGGTATCGCCTTAAGAACATTATTTTACCAAACACCACATGTTGGGTTGGGCCACTAATACTAGGTTGCGTCAAATATGATGATGATGATAATGATACCTAACCCCTTTAGATCTCCTTTTTTTTTTAAATAGTACATGAACTCTTCAAGCATCAATCAAAAGAAACAAAGTGCTGACATCTGTGCTCGTTTGAGTCAATTACTTGTGATCAAAGTTGTCTGCTTGTTTGTTACAGCCCGTTTTTAGGAAGAGATAGTATTGATCAAACTTGCCGCTAGGTGTCGCTCCGCGCTGAGGACTGATTTTTTAGTCCGCGGTGTCCAGATTTTTTTTCCCGCAAAGACACCGCGGCCGCGGCGACCGACGGGCAAGACCTTACTTCATAGGATCATTTCTATAGTAAGCTCTTCGCTAGACCTTCACACTATGTGAAACCACCCTTAACCACGTTGATGAGACGTGGCGCGGCGCCCTGAGCGTGAGGCGGGCGGCAGTGTCCACTGCCAGCCCTCGATGATCGTTCGCCCTCCGCTTCGGCGGAGGGGGTGGGGCGTTGTCGCTGTCTGAGTGGTTATTTTTGAACCCTTTTAATCCTACTAACTAATGATCTTAGTTAGGCCAAGCTTAAGCAGCCGTCAGCCTTATTAACTTTTTAATAAAATTCTCTTATGAATAGCCAGACACATAAGAAAAGAAAGACACCCAGCATTACACACACTCAAAGTACAGTACACACGGATATTAGTTCTTGTTTTATATCTATCCCTTTTTCCCATTATTTAGGGTCGGCTCTCCTTGTTCTGAGGCGCCGCCAGGAGATCAGTACAGTCTATCCCGGAATGTCTAAAATATTTGTCTGGCCTCGCTCTAAGTCCTTGGCCACCGTGGACCGCCATGTATGATCCAAAATAGATGTAATGCATAATAATAATTAATAATGGTACATAATGATTAAACATAATCCTATTTCCATATCCCACACATATTTATGTAATGTTTTATTTATTTAATTAGATGAACTGAACTTCACAGCAAGTAAGTTCATAAATAATGCAATTTTATTTATTGCTGTTCTTTTTTCGAAATAGATGATTTAATTCAACGTTCTCATCGCCAACGTCCATACCACGTTGAAAACACCGGTTCTCGTCCGATCACCGAAGTTAAGCAACGTCGGGCGCGGTCAGTACTTGGATGGGTGACCGCCTGGGAATACCGCGTGATGTTGGCTTTTTGCTGCTACTCTGTATTTTTTGTTAAATATTAGCTTTTACTCGTACATACAGTTTCCGTGGTAATCGATTAGTTCTTGGCAAAATGATCTTTAAATTAAATACCGATAGATTCTGTTATTTCTCCGTCGAATTTCATGCACATTTAGGTAACTTTATTTTGTTATTTAATGGCGTGCGGTTTGCACATTTAGCCTGAGTCAAGTAAATTACAATGTCGGAAACTAAAACAATCCCAAGCCCAATGTGGAACCACAGCTGTGCAGCTGTGGAACGAATCGGCCCTAGCAGCCGTACAGCAAGGGAACTAGAGTACATACATGGTACTCCCAGAGAGCGACAGAGGGCGCTAGGGCTCCGTTGAAAAGCAACCCGCCACGTGCTCGGTGATCAACAGCATTGGTACAACTATCAACCCCGAGATGTCACTGTGCATCGAGAGGCCAAATCCTGTACCGCGGTGTCCAGATTTTTTTTCCTGAAAAGACCTTCTGCGGGTTGGCCAATAACGGTATCGCTTCTCGGCCTTTTGGCTAAGATCAAAGTGTAGTATCTGTTCTTTTCAGCTTAATATCTAAAAGTTCCCTCACTGAGGGACAAACTGATTTTTGCCCTTTGAGGGGATGTTCGGGGCTCGCTCCACTCCTCTCACGGGTCGGCCCACATAATACTTGAAAAGTACGTTCTTAATTCTGAAACAGTGTTCGGTTCGGTGTTCCAGCCGACTCTGGCGCAATTAATGCGTACTTTAACTAATACCACACTGATAGTGACTGACACGTACATGCTATGCTATAGTACTACTAATATTGTTTTATGAGGATATTGACAAAACTAAATTTCAAGCGGGTGAAGCCGCGGGCAAAAGCTAGTCTAAAAATGAAAGGAAAACCGGATGATGACGCAGACAATGAGTTGAGTAACTCAAAATGTTTTCGCAGTTGTAAAATGCACTTCTGATCATTTCTTAAAATGTGAATATCGTGTAGGCATAGCAAACCAAAATAATGAAATAGCAAAAAGCCAACATCACGCCAGGCGGTCACCCATCCAAGTACTGACCGCGCCCGACGTTGCTTATCTTCGGTGATCGGACGAGAACCGGTGTTTTCAACGTGGTATGGACTTGGACGTTGGCGACGAAGTAGCAGTAAATAATCATCTATTTTGATAAAAAAAAACTATTAATTAGACTTTTTTGTTTTTATTTTTTTATACACATTGCATTATTTATGAACTTACTTTGTGAAGTTCTCAACTAAAAACTTATCAATGACAGACACTGTGTGTGTTGCCACTGAGATGAGACGTATTTACTAGAACAGATCCACACACTAGGTATTTTACAGTACTAGGCGGCACCTATTCCAATTTTTTAAATACTTGATCCACCTAGTATTTTATAAATTACACGATTTCCGACCCTACCATCAAAGTAATAGAGGTTATTATTGCGTAATCCCTAGTCGTGTATTACGCGCACCTAGTATTTCTCGCTAAGCTTATGTGCGAACGTAGAGATTCACTCCGTCTCTGTCTGACCAAACAAATTTGAGCGCGACGAAGCAAACGCACACAAACGTAGTCAAACCATATTCATGTAAATAAGAAAAAATATGTAAATATTTTTATGAAATTGATATCTTTTAAATACGCCAACTTTTAAGTTGACAGTCCTAAGCCTGTTGAAGTATGAAGGGAGAAGTTATTATTCAATTTCAAATTGCATTATTCATACTAAGGTTTTATCTTTTCAAAAAAAAATTGTATTTTAAAGTCATATTACGTGGATTAGCCCGCACTAGTCGCGTCAAGTATGCTAAGTTACTAGTGGTTACTACGTACTAGGTGGAATAGGTATTTGGATCGAGTATTAATAAATACTAGGAATAGGTGCACCTAGTATCAAATGGCAATGCCAGATTTTGTATGGAAAGTGGCGTCTTTTTTTTTTCGCGCGGCCATCGACCAAACTTTGTTTTTTGATTACAAAATAGTGTAATAAACCAAACTTACTATGGCATGTATACCTCTAAACTCAGTCTGAATTGAGTTACGAGCAATAGAAGTTTGATTATTTTCATACTAGATTTGCTTTTTGTGCGCAAGTTTTGTAAGAAATTGCAACAAAATATTGCGCTATTTTTTTATTGCGCTGATTCTGCTCCATACTGATGTCTGGAGCCTTTAATAGATGATATTGTTTGTTTACACATACAATCTCACTATTTTGTTACAATTTCTTACAAAACTTTGCGCGCAAAAAGCAAATCTAGTATGAAAATCATCAAACTTCTAATGCTCGTAACTCAGTTCAGACTGAGTTTAGAGGTATACATGTCATAGTAAGTTTGGTTTATTACACTATTTTGTAATAAAAAAACAAGGTAAGGTCGATGGCCGCGCGAAAAAAAAAAGACGCCAATTTCCGGCATTGTCTTTTACCTAGTATAACCCATCTCTAGTTGCCACCAAATATGAAATTCAAGACACTTTAAAATGTTGCAATAAAATTAAAAAGTACATAATTTATTAAATAGTATAAGAATTGAGAAATATTTGAGAGAGAACAGAAGTGACCTACGAA